CTCACATACACACACACACACACACACACACACACACACACACACGCACGCACGCACGCACGCACGCACGCACGCACGCACATTATAAAAAATTTCTGAATACATAACCAATTTATCGACTACTCAATTGAAGTAATGATTTGGATTCGATGCCGCCAGTTGGTGCCACCATATAATTTGATGTGTCTTATGAGTATTCAATGCCGTTAGATGGCACAATCTTACTATTATTTTACTCAAGAATATTTCTGTATATGAAATTAATAAATTAATAAATACATTCATCTTTACGCGTAATCTGTTGCAAAGTTTCTTCAATTCATGAAACTCGTGGATGAAAGAAAACGAATTGTAGATTAAGTATAAATTTTATAAATTTGTGCATAATTCTCGAAAAATTCAGTTAATTCAAGAAAGTAAGTAGTCCATAGTAGAAATAAATATTAATTTAAATATTTAAATAAATAAAGTTTCAATATAACTTTATACAGAAATCGATTATTGCCGATTCATTTTTTTATAACTTTCGAATCTGACTATCATGGCAATCATATTCGTTTATAACACACAAGAACGTCATCTGCATGATTGAAAGAAAAATTATTAGTTTCAAGAAATTTATAGATAGAAGAAATTTATAGAAATTTATAGATTGATTTATATAAAGTGCATTAAAAGCATTTTATTATACATTTACTTAGTAAGTCGTTCAATCTCCATTACTCGAGAATTTGAGTATCGTATATACTTTCTACAAGATTTTCCACATATTGCTTTTTATCGCAACTGCTTTAAATTGAACATAAGCTTTCCTTAAAGCAGCTACCTCTTAATGATGGGCCACACATTTTCAATTGGATTCGCATTAGGCGATTGTGCAAGCCAATTCAAAATCTAATATCATTGCGGCTTTTCATACACAAATATGCAGTCACAGAATGAGGTGTTTCGAGTCATTATCCTCTTGCTGTATCTTCGATAATCCATAAGCGTCACTTTTCGAAATGCTTTGGTTTAAAGAAAGATTTTAGCCGCTAAGAGATGTTTACCTCATTTAGTCGCCTCTTCAAAGTAATTATTATACTTATGATCGCACACTCTCTTTTTGGCTAACAATTTCTGGCCTTGTCTTTGGCAATGTCAATAGAGACTTTCATCGAAACAACTTTTGATTTTATCTTTTTTCTCCGATGTCCCTCGCGTTTTTCCTCTCTTTGGAAAATCGACATTTTTTATCTTATTTTATTATTCTTTATATTATTTCACTCACTTCCGTAGTTTTTTGACTTATGCATATAATTTATAGCAACACAGTTTATAAGTCATTTTAAGTTACTTTACTGTGATTTTGTGAGTACACAAGAATACTGTCTCAAAACGTTTACCCAGATAGAATACAAAGTCATAATTAAGTCACAATGATATCATTATGATATCGTTTGATACTTAAAAATGAACTTTTAACAAATAGAATTATGATGATGTCTTATAGATTTTATATGATTTTATATCTATATCTATTATATGATTTTTGTCTTTTACTTGAGTGATATACTTATTTTGGAAATCACGTGTTCTTATCATCACAATCAATCATAATGGAAAGTACTAGCATTTCTAGCACAAAGTGTGATAATCTCTCTTCAACAATCATTCTTCAATATCACAGGTCTTTTAATAATTTTTCCCTGAAGCAGTCTAATCGACACTCTTGTGACAGACTATTATCTTATTGCTACCTATATTGCAACTCGCTCTTTCTTCTTTATACGTTTCTCTCGGCCTTAATAATCGTAAAACCGGCTGTCTGTTCCTCGGTAGTATCGCGGTGGTCCGTCCAAATCGTTCGGATCGATCGTGATTGGGTTTTGCACACGGCTAAGTGCACCGACGAAAAAACGAAGCAGACGAGCGCGAAGGCCCGAGGCACCATAATTTCCTGATCGTCCACCGAAACCTGACACGGGCGGTCTCTCTCTCTCTGTTCATAAAGTGCACGTTGCGCACGACCACGCTCCCGATTATTATGAAAAATAAAACATATGTTCTTCGATATCAACCTTAATAATCATTTAATTGTACTTTGAAAACGAGTAAACCTTTAAAAACGATCATAAACAAGTTAATAACGTTTATCATTTTCACGTCGTATCGAGTATGTATTTCACTTGCAAGTGAAAGCGAGAGTATTTGATTAAACATTACATTATAGAAAGAATAAAAAAAAGAATGATTTTTCATAAATGTTAAATTTAATTAGAAATTGTTCGATTTTTTAGGAATGAAAGATGTATTTATCTCGTAACAATTGGAGTAAAAAAGTGTAAGATGTCTTAATAGGGAATATACCCTATCATAAATATTATTTCATTTTATTTTATTAGGTGTACAACTTTGCTCCCGCCGTTTTTTTTCCGAAATTCGAGGCTTTATTGTAAAAAACTGGTTATACATTTATGATTCAAAGTATTGTCCATCGCTGGTCACTACTTTCTCCCATCTTTCGGGTAGCGTACGAATCCCGCGTCGAAAAAACTCTTTTGAGGCTATCCACTATCTTTTGAATCGATCCAATTTTTTACTTCTTCATAAGACCGGAAGTGCTGGTCAGCCAGGCCGTGTGCCATTGATCGACACAAGTGATAGTCAGAGGGAGCAACGTCTGGAGAATACGGCGAGTGGGGTAGGACTTCCCATTTCCAAGTATGTCTTGACCACTTTCGCAACATGGGGTCGAGCATTGTCATGCTGCAAAATCACTTTATCGTGTCTCTCGTTGTATTGCGGCCGTTTGTCTTTCAATGCTCGGCTCAAACGCATCAATTGCGTTCGATACCGATCGCCTGTGATTGTTTCAGTCGGTTTTAACAGTTCATAATACACTACGCCGAGCTGGTCCCACCAAATACAGAGCATGACCTTGGACGTCAAAATCACCGTTCTTAAAGCGTTGAAACCACTCACGACACGTTCTTTCACTAATAGCGGCCTCACCGTAAGTATTTGAGAGCATTCGATGAGCCTCAGCCGCAGAATTCTTCATATTGAAGCAAAAAATTAAAACCTCCCGCAAATGACGAGAATTTGGCTCGTAAACTGACATTTTCAATCGAGAATAACTTTATGATGCAGACACAAATCGACTAATGTTTCTATGGGGTTATGTTGACAGATGCCCAAGTTTATTGTATGACGTCTATGATCTATTTATTTCGACCACCACTTACCGCTAAAGCCTATAGGAAAACGGTGGAAGCAAAAGTTGTACACCTAATATATATAAAATCTTTTATATAAAGATATTCATTATCAAAAAATTATTTTTTGTTATTATTTTTTGTATGATTTATTTTGTGAAAGCCTTGAAAGGCAGACTACACATTGTTATACTACAGTTTTCTTTCATATTCACATCTTACTAATAGACTAAACATCTTACTAATAGACTTTTCAATCCAGTATGTAATCTCTATAGCATAAATAAATCTCTATAGCAAGACATTAAAAGATATTCTTTTCGATACTGGTTTTAATTATCACCTGCCTGTTTGAATATCTTTTCAAAATTGATTGACACATTAATGATGTATTATTTTTGTCGCATCGAGAATTGATTCTCATATGTAGAAGCTAAAACACAAAAAATTCGATGTAATAAAGAATGTAATAAAGAATGTAATAATTTTGCGGAAGCTTTTATTAAGAATTATTAGATTTACAATTAGAAGGTTTGTTATTATCATAATTAAAAGGACTAGCAAAGAATTTTGACATTTATTGCTATTAATGTTACGATTGTTACGAATATTAAGATTGTATTAAATTTAATTTATAGTATCAAATCATATTATTATACGTATAATTAATGTGTATGTATACATGTTCGGCATTTATTTATGGATTTTTTTAATAATTAATATATTTTTATCTTTCATAGTATGGCTATACAATATTCCTAATTCAGTAGTATAAAAAAAACGATCTAAATTACTCTTTCGTCTTGCACGCGATTATATGACGTGATTAAAAGTTAGCAGGCCATTGGCTGAAACTGCTATTAAAAATCGAAGTCTTCCAGATAGCGATCATATAACTCTTTCCACAGAACAAAAATGCAATGAGTGAAAATTTCTTCCATTATCTTCACAATGGCAAAAATTTCCATTTTTCACGTTTTCTCTTAAAAGAAAAATTACATGATCAGTTCTCTGATCTATAATTTCCATGTTTGCCCGCTTCGTTTTGATTGGTCGGTTCCAATACTCCCAATTTCCAACGGGCAATCTCAATTTTCAATCTAATAGTCTAATACACGAAGTTAAGCCATGGTCATCATGGTAGAGACTAGAGAGTAGAGTTGAGCTCCAGGGCGCGCCGTGACCGGCTCGCCTCGCGTTATCAGTCTCGTTTCCCGCGGAAGAGAGCCGTCCTTGCGTCCTCCTGAAAAAGTCGTGGCGCGCGAAAGATTCATGGGGCCGCAGGGGAGGCTGATAGAGAAGAGCGAAATGGAAAAAGGTGTACCGTTCTCCGGTGAGAGAGGTAAACGAGCGAGGGGCTCGCCGGAGCGCGGGAAGGATTGCGAAGAACGGCGAGGGGGGAGGGAGGGAGGGGGGAGACAGCACGGCGCGCACCAATCCATCCCCACCAATCGCGGTCTACGGTTGCGCGGCGCGACGAGTTTACGCGACTAGAACTCGCCTGCACTCGCCCGTGAGACGCCGAAGCGACAGGTAGCGGTACACACTACACGTTCGCGTCGCGCCCTCGCGCACTCTGCCCTCTTCACTTCCTTCCCCGCCGCGTCGCCCACCCTCGTGCGATGTAAACACGGCTCGCGTTAGGCAGGTGGTCGCAGGCTGCGGACGTGCGTGGAACGGTACCGTTCGTGCCGCGCGTCGCGGGAACGCGGAAGAATTTCTACGAGAGGAGGGGAATTTCTATGAGGGGAGTTCTCGCGTTTGGCAATTGACAGTGATCGGTGACAGTGCATGACATCCGTCGTTTGTTCGCCGCTCGCTCGCGCGATCGAGAGCGCAAAGTGTATTATTCTTTCTCTCTCGCTCCATCGGACGGTGCAGTGATCTCCCGTGCTCCAGCCACGGACAATCTGGGTTCACGAGTTCGATTTGAGTGTCGTCACATCGGAGGAGAGGAAATTCCCTTCCTGGAACGCAGTTCCTTTCCTTCACCGTCTGAGACAGCCCGGCGGCGACGAAAGTCAATCCACGTCGTGGGAAAAGAAGCAATATCGCGGATTTATCGGTGAGTTGAATCACTATTCTTATATTTTTTGAAGGATCGAGGATTGAGAGGGATCGGCCGATTGTTCGATATACGATATCGGAGCGAACTTCATGCGATAGGATTTAACTTTAATCCTTCGAATTGAATATCTTAAGCATTTATATTCGCATTTATACTTCTATTTAAGATGTCTTAAATACTGTCATTACATGCCATGAATTCCAAGGTTTGTTTTCTATTCCTGCACTAGATTGCACTAGAACTCTCTTTCTCGCTTTCACCAATTATCGAACCTACATCTATCTCACTTTGAGTTCCAAAAGTGTACACTAGTGTCACTAGTTCAGCCATAGAAAACAGATTCCTAATGTTACAATTCGTAATTTTCTATTTCTAATACATGATGTGAACTTTATTGCTAACATTGTAAAGTAGCAATGTTGCTACAAATTTTTGTGCTATATTGACTGTTAGTTGTCTCGATTTCAACAAAAAGTACCAAAGTGTCCTACTAAAAAAGGGACATCACAAATTATGTAGAAAAATGAAGCAATAGAGAATATTAATGATTGCTTCAATCTTGTCAGTGTGTATAAAATTATTTAGCGTTGATCGTGAAAAAACTTGGTCTTATGGAATTTTGTCTCTCGATTAAAATTTTAGTTCTAGTTTATCTTATGTCCATTTCTGTCATTGTCAATTAACTTCGGTCTTGGCTTAATTGAATCTTTGTTCTTTCTTAATTTTTACGACTAGAAAAAAAGATAAAAGTTATTATATTGATAGAAACGGGCATTAGATTAAAACAAAAACTTGACAATAAAAACGAAAATAATTAACGAGAATTTAAAATACGACACGCGATTTAATACTTATCGTTGACGTTACTCAAAAACACGTGTTTTTATTTTGTCAGATTATTTATTCACATTTATTTAATGTTCTCCCTAGTAAAAGTCACTGTATTTCGATTCGAGACACGTTGGTACGTGGGTAAGCACATACGTTTCTAAATAACGAAAAGATTAAAACCTTAAAGCTCGGAAATAAATTATGCGCGCGCCGGCGTGAATGCATGAGTAATGCGTATTGAAATAACACGATACACAATTAACATGCTATGCCACACGCGCGGCATTTATCCGGAATAATTTGAATAGACAAATTGTCGGTTATTCGAGTGCGCGTCATAATATATTTCGCCGCAGTGATTTATTTTCGCAGCGGTGGACGCGCGAATTTTTATTACCGTCATAATATTAGTGTACATCAAAACGACAAGATCGATAGACATTAATATTAATGTACAACACGTTCTTCTGTTTATATATGCAGCTATTTACAAATACGATTACGTATTATTCATACACGTTTGTGCCTCACGAATCTGTCGCTATCGATATTATTTTTCAAGAAAAATTTTGAATTTATTAAAGATTTAGCCTTAAAATAAATAATACTGTGAATTTGAAAATAATTTTAAATAAAGGACATCTTGAAAAAAACGTTGTACACTCAGAACAAAATGTTCGATATCTATGACTATAATTGTGTAAAATAATTTATAGTTAGTTTCATTTTTATAGTCGTTTTCGGGACTAACTATTATATTTTTTATACATAGAGAATTATAAATGTAATTAGAATAGAATAATTTATTCACTTCAGCACATATTTAGCCAAGAAGGAATCTTGGCTTCATTGTAAATATAATTATCATTACTAACGTTATAGAATAATAATTATAAAACTAGAACTCTTGATTATAATTATTTTATTATACGATTATAATCTTAAATATCAACATTTTCCTCTCAATGCAAGCATCACGTATTAAAAGTGCTATTTTAATAGAAAAACGTTATATAGTTTTAATTACTGTATGGTTACGTTCAGACTATTTATTTTGCAATTATTGGAACTTTTCTTTATTTTGATTGAATTACATTTTTAGATATCTAAAAATGTATAATCCAATTAATCATTAAGGAAATTTCAAACAGTTGCAAAATAAACATTCTATTGAACGCAACCAATCAAAAGGGTTCAATTTAATGCACATTTTTTAAGGGATTAATCTTGGAGAAAATTAAATTTAGATTAGCATATTCAATGTTGCAGCGAATCCTTGAATTTATAATTGCGAAAAATAGACTGTGAGTCGTGACCAACTTCGTTGAGAAAATTGCGGCATTCGCACGTGCAATGGGCACGTGTAGGTTCGTTGACACGGCGAGCGGGCTGCACGCCCTATTTCCATTCGTACCTTCGCCGTGCATGTGTGTCGTACTTATGAGAGCACAGGTGATGTCTACGTACGTCCCGGGTCCGCCACGATTAGTTTTTGACTATCGCGTGACATTAACCTGCTTTCGAAACATGGTATCACGACACGTTTTCATAGCAGTAATCAGGTTAATATCCATCGGATACTTTGCGTTATCATTAAAGTTATTCTTTAAATAGATGTAGGTGGAAGACATTCATTATCTATAGAATGAGTGTTTCTTTCGTATTTCATTCAATAAAATTAGCTTGTTTTAGATAGACTGCGTATTGATCTTACATTATTAAGTTCATAATATTAAATTATTTCCAGTTTATTTTTAATTAAAAATTACAATTTGATTGAAAATCATTTGCAAGACGAACTAATTGTGATTATAATTAATTCATTTGTTAGACGAATTCAATTAACTTAAGGTTTTGGGGTTACCATTACTCTTTTTCACATTTGTAAACCTGTGCTGTAAATCTGTGCTCCGTTAGAAAAAATTGAACATATTATATCTTCTAATTCGATACTTAAAGAAAAAGAGAACGATATTATACAAACTATCACTATCTAAACTCTTTCTAAGCACTCTTTCCGAAATAATAATGATAATTTCATGTAAGAATGCGCAGACATCATTATATTTCAAAATATTTCACACGCTAAATAATTCGCTCTCATTTTAATCGCACCGCGAGCACTTAATTATCGAATGATGAACCACCTTAAGTTTTTAATTATGATGTCGAAAAGGAAGAAGTTTGAGAAAACGAAAGAGAAAGACTGAAGAAGCGTAAAAAATGAAAAAGGGAAAAGGAATGCGAAGTCCAGACGATCTTTGCGATCCACTGCCAAGTCATTGATCGTTCATGGTGATTATAAATCCCGAAACGTGGATCGGCAATTTAGTTATGGCCGTGCTCGTTATACGCACTAAGTTCGCAATGTGCATCTTGCACGAGCGTGTGTAGATGCAGTCCGTATGAATACGGCACGACGATATCGCGTGCGAATGTCCGTGCGTGCGTGGTTAAGGAATGCATCGAGAATTTTCATTGCGCGTGATCCGGATTTTTCATGGTCACGTCGGTAGCGTCGCTGCTTAGGTGAAAATTAATTGTTTACCTATAATAATTCCCAGGATGATCAACTTCTGCGAGAAGATGATTACTGCGATCTCATACCGCGTTGTGAGAATGCGCGCCTGATTATCGTGATTTACGAGCCTTTAAACATGAGAAAGTCGCCATTTTTTGCGCTACGTTCTAAATTTTTACTCATTTAAGCTAACGATCGGTTTAATCCCGAAAAAGATGTTCGAACTGAAATGAGATACACAGATTTAGAATTATTTTCATAGATCCAATAAGACGTTTTTCTCGCCAGTAAGTAATAAATCGCGGATTATTATTACCGGATTTCTTTTAGCAATATTATGGTGGCAAGATTGCTAGTTGCAAAATGTTTTATAAGAATTTCTTTGAACTTTCGAAACTTTTTGTATCTTGCCTTATTGTAATTGGGAATCGAGAACGGAGAATGATTCTGTATAAAATAGAATTACTCGACAATAGAACTTTATATCGAATATGATAGAATTATTTTACAAATCTGGTCAAGCTATTTTGTGTCTTTTTGTAGCTCTTTCACGGTGTGAAAGACAAGCGATCGCGATATTTTCAGGCAAAAAGAATGGTCGCACGACGAGCGATATTTTCTCAGACGGAAAACAATGCCGAACGGAGATGAGCGCATCTTTCCGCTTGCAGCCAAATACAATACGCGATTTTTACGAGCACTGGTCGGTGGAGATGTTATAGCTTTCGTAGGGTATAACTGAACAAGAAGTAGCCAGACGGACAGTTGAAAAATTTCGCACGGCTATATCCCTGTATGAGATTCTCTTGTGCGCGGCACGCCTATAAATGCCGCCTATTCTGCTGCGACTTACTGCATCTTTCAGGGTGTCGTTTCCTTCTCTTCGCCGCATTCTGCGAATTTTCTACTCCGCATTTATTTCCCCGCACGTACTCGCCGAGGCGATAAATTAAGTCGGAAGTATTCTCGCTCCCCCTGTTACTAGTCAATTATCTTTCTCTGACAGGCCTGTTCAATCCTCCCAAGCTGAGTGGGTCTATTGAATCCACATTATAAATCTTCTTTCAAAAATGTAAAACAATTTAATTTTCTGTTAAGTATATTTATGCAAATTTGGATTATTCTTATTTAAAGTCTTTGGAATGGAATCTCACTCTAAAGAATAAAAATGTCAGTCTTGAAAAAGAGCGAGATTTCACTCTTTATGATGAGATTCACTTCAAAAGTTTTAGAGAGTACTTATTAAAATATACTTATTATTTCCTTTCATTAAATGAATTTATATCATTTTGGAAATTAATTAGCTTTTTAATTAAGACAAATTGAATAGGTCTTACAAAGTAGTGTCAGTAATTATATTATACAGATTTTGGCATTTGCTTCGGCGGATTTTTCGAATAATTCGTGATAAATTTTCACTGCGATATCTCATGAAATATTGTTATACATCTCAATTCTCCGTTTAAAACAAATTAGAAAAAATATCAGAAAAAAATCAATCGTTTATTGAGACAATAAGTTCTTTTATTCGGCTCCAGTCGAATCTAAAGACGCTCTAATAAGAATCTAGACTTGAGAAAGTCACTTTTAATTGATTCGTCATGAAGAAAAAGATAGAGCAGAAAGAGGAAGAAAAAGAAATAGT